TGGCAGTCTTATCTATATTAGTGTTATCTATGCTTTGCCTCCCAAGGTTCTGGCTTGAGTTTGGGTCTTCAGTCTTCCTGTCAATCCCATGAGCTCTTCCAATAGTATTTTCTTCTATTTAAGCTTTGTATTCTCTTAAGAGAGGGCAGCGGTTGGGGAAGCGGTTGACAGTGGAAGGAGCTCCCTTTAGATGAGGTGGCCAGGGAAGGCCTCATTGAGAAAGTGCCTTTGCCCCACATCTGACTGGGGAAGATGCCAGTGGAAGAAGAGTGATAGAAGGGCACAGACAAAGCTTTGAGATAAGAGCTGAGATGGCTGGCAGTAGACAGTGGAAGAGGTCAGCAGAAACCAAGTCTCTGAGGACCATGAGGCCACAGTAAGGGATCTGGGTCTGCTCTCCTGCAATCAAAGGCATCTCTTATTTCAGAGATTAGAGTCTGGGGACCAGATCTGGTTCTCCTTGTCTGGAAAGCACAATCAGCTAAGTCATTACAGTTGACTTTGATATTATACACCATTACAAAAAAAAAAAAAAAAAACCCTACACTTTCAAATCCAAACAAAACTTCTGTTTTGTTGGCTCTTGGGTTTTTCAAATTTTTGGTTGGGTTCTTTTTTAAGTTTCTTAGTTCCTTTTGACAAATTCCAGCTCAACTCTGTTGAAATAAGGGGAAATATTTTTGTCTGCACTTAGGACTGGGGATTCCAGTTAGAGAGGCTGGTCCTCTGATGGAAATGGACAGCAACCAGGACAGTGAGGGAACAAGCAGACATGTCTTGATTGGTCCTTCAGTCTCATAACTTTATAGTCCCACACTCACTCAGGAAATACTTGGTCAGCATCTGGCCTGTGCCTGGGCTCTGGGTGAGCGTTAGGCTACAAAGATGATTATAACATAGTTCCTGCTCTCCAGGAATCGAGTTAAATGTGAGGAAGAGCCAGCCCAAAGGTTATGGAGCAAGAGTCCTCTGTCACTTAGAAATTGGTAATACGACAAATGCCAAAGCCAACAGGCCCCAGCCACCCTGCATTCTAGAGAGCCAGAGATGTTCCCTTCAAGGTTTACTATAGGAGGCAGAACTGGCCCACTAGCCAAAACTCAATTTCTTCTTCCTTGTCCATATAATAATCCCAGGGTCTTTGATTTTTATTGAGTAATATAGTGTTTAATGGGAGGCAATTCCCTTCCCTTCCAAGTAAAGGGGTGTGGGGAGGGGGAAGCTCAGAGGGAGTCACTCATGGAGGTTGAGGGTGACTGCAAGAAGAGGATAAGGGATGGTATTCCTGCACAGGATCTACTTGGCAGGAGACCATACCTATCTGAGCAGGGGAGAAGAGAGGAGGAAAGAGGGGGCACTGTGGAGCAGCTGGCCAGAGTGTGGGTGTCCCTGTGGGTCAAGTGGACGCCGTGGTAATTAGCCAGGCTGGAGCACCTTTCTGATGTCTCACCCAACCAGGCTGACTGCTGGGCAGAATGGTCTTATCAGTGACAGGACCAGGTGATGAGGCAGCAAGGTAGGAGGGGTCAGGCCTGAGTCAGATGCCCCCTGCCAGAGGACTATGTAGTGCAGGAGCCCCCATGAAATTACTAATGTGTCCCATGAGGAACCATAAGCTCAGACAAGGAGGGCCAACCAACAGAGAGAAGGCTCTTGCTGGGGTGGCATGGGCAGTGATATTTGCACGTTCCTTGTCATTTCTCCCCATTTCAACAAGGGAATGGGTGCTAGTGTGTCTCCAACTAGGCTACTTTCCTTTTCTTCCAGAAGGCTGGATACTGGGTCCTTGGTCAAGTTAACCCTTGGATGAGTAGGGGAGAAGATAAAATGAGATTTAAATTGAGTTTGAGAATAAAGCGTCAATGGATGGATGTTTAACAACAGAAAGTGATCCAATAGCAATGCCATCTGCCCAAGAAAAGAAAAGGAAATTCAACCCAGCATGGCTGAAGTCAGAGATTAGGAGAAAAAGCTTCATTACTATGTCCCACGGAGTTGAGTTGCTTCAATACACCGGTTCCACAAATAAACAGGAAAATTGAAGTACGGTGTGGAGGAGCTGTAGTCTCACTCAGGTAAGCAGCCACAGGGGTCAGAGGGAGCCTGGGGAAGAAGTTGTCCACATCCTAGTTGGCTGCAGGGGTGGGGAGATTCTAGAGGAGGGGCACCTGAACCAAGTCTTTTTCTTGGGGAATAGGGAGTAACTGGGGTTTGAACTCATGGCCTCATGCTTGCTAGGCATGCATTCTACCACTTGAGCCACTCCTTCAGCCCTTTTTTTGTGTTGGATATTTTCAAGATAGCGTCTCGTGAACTATTTGCCCAGGTTGGCTCCCAACAATGAGCCTCCTGATCTCTGCCTAATGAGTAGCTAGGATTACAGGCGTGAGCCACCAGCACTGGCTTTAAGCCAAGTCTTGAAGCATGAGATGAAAGAAGAGTGGGAGAAGGCTGTCAGGCAGTGGTGGCAGCATGGTACAGCCAGGGAGCAGGGCTGGAAGGCTGGGTAGAGATGCAGGCCATGTCAGGAAGTGAGGGTCCTGAGAAGCCAGTGCAGACTGGGGGAGGACACCATTGGGTTTGCTTAGGACCCCCGTTTACCAGATTCTGGCAACACCATGGACATGACCTCCAGGCATGCTCTTCACCTATTCACCTGGCCCTGTGGCCACGCCAAAGACCATTTCCAAAATCCAGTTCCTGTTCTTTTGAATGTCCTTTGCTCTGTTTCTATTGCATACGCCATCATGGATCCCCTCTTTCATGGGACTCTGAGTACCACCACCTCCTCAAATTCATCTCCTGGCTACCCTCCTCCTTCACACTTTTCTCAGCCCACTTCCCCTGGGCCTCGCTGCCAGCACATTTCTCCTGGGATGTGCATGTACAGAAATATCTTCGTTTTATCTTCTCTGGTCTGCGCCCCATGGGGCAACACGAAGGCTACTATTTATTCTTTCACACATTAAGATGCTTTAATTGCTGCTATGATATGTTTCATATAATATAATTAATGTTTTAATTCAGTGTATTTGCTTCCCCAGGCAGTTTTGTGAAGGGCCCAATTTTGGAATCAAGCAAATAAGGAATAAGTAATAACTGAAGTGATTACAGTAATGCCCCCCTTCCCAAAGGAATTAAAACTGTGCTTGTTTTTACTTTTCTTTTTTTTTTTTTGCAGTTTTTAAAAATTTCTTTTATTCATATGTGCATACACTGTTTGGGTCATTTCTCCCCCCTTCTTCCCACCCCTCCCCCCTTCCCCCTCCCGCCCACACCCCTTCATTTCCGAGCAGAAACTGCTTTGTCCTTACCTCAAATTTTGTTGAAGAGACAGTATCAACATTAATAAGAGGACCAGGGGTCTTTGCTAGTTGAGATAAGGATAGCTATACAGGGGGATTCCTCGTATTGCTTTCCTGTACATATGTATTACATTCTAAATTGATTCTTCTCAACTAGCTTTTCTTTAGTTCCTGGTCCCCTTTTCCTATTGGCCTCTGTCACTTTAAAGTTTTTGCATTAGCTCTTTTGCATTGAGAACATCAAATGCTTCATTAATTTGCGTGTCATCCTTGCACAGGGGCCATGTTAATCTTCTCTGTATCGTTCCAATTTTAGTATATGTGCTGCCAAAGCGAGCACTGCTTGTTTTTTCAAAGGGGATTGAGAAAGGGAAAAAGTATTTTAATTTTCTCTTTATCCTGGTCATATTTGTGTGGCTTTAATGAAGACCCCTGTTTCTGGCCTTTTTGTATCTGACCATCATCTCTTCCATCCAAGGGGCCACTGAAGCTTGAGGTCTGTGTTGAGACTGCCAACTTTGTGTGCCCACCCCTAATTCCTTCTTTTATGAATGAGGCTGTTGGCACAGTCCAGATGAAAGATGTGAGCTCCTGAATTGGACAGTGGCAGAGGCGATGGAAGACGGGATGATTTCAGAGGTAGAATCTACAAGAGCTGCAAATGTGCCCATTACAGAAAAGGCTCCAAGAATGGGTTAGGCATCCCCTTTCCTTCTGCTTCCCTGATCTGTGTGGCCTGGCTTCTTGGCCTAGCCTCGAAATTCAGAGCTTAGAGGGTTATCATCCCAAGTTGCTGTTTAGTTCAAGCTCCTTGGGTTTCTTGAGGAGATGGATTGGGAATTGAGTCTCAAGGGAACTCTGCATCAGTGGCAGAGCCTGGACCAGAACCCAGACGATCCATGCTGCAAAGCAGAGTAAGCATGTTTTAGGAATGGCTTGAGGGGGAAGGGACAGGAACCGAGGAAATGAAGGCACAAGGAGGGCCTCGAGTGTCCTGACATTTTCCAAGGGTGCCTATAATTCCACAAAAGGCTGGTGTGCTCAATTCCTGCCTGTCTCCAGGAGCTGGATGGGAATGGGATAGAATCCGGCGGGGACGCATAGATGCATGGATGGGTGGATGCGGAGGCTGGGACGCTGAGCCCACGCGAGGGAATTTCCTTTGCAAGAGAGTGAAACTCTTGAGTTGGGACACCCGTTTCCTTGAGACGCCTCCCCGCACTTCAGCTGTGGCCTTTCCGGTTTTTTAGGGGTAGTGGTGGGGACTTCCTCAGGCCATTCAATCCCAGGTGCGGACGCTTTCGATTCTGCCGGGATTCCCAGAGGCAGCGGCGGGGGAGAAGCATGGAGATCCTTGTAAGCTCCCCCGACCCTTCCAGCACCTACAGGGATCCCACTTTCTTCCCTCCGCCCCCTTGGAAGCAGGTTAGCTCCTAGCCCACGTCTGTGGCCTTTGAGGTCCTGGGGCAAGGTCCCTCACTTCCTCCCCTACCCCGCTCATCGCACGTCCCTAAATTCCTGCGGAGAATTAAACTCCGGGAAATGTCCTGGGGAAATCCCTGAATAGCTAATACCCCGGGGCCGGCCAGGATTGGCTCCATAAGACCCCGCCCCCTTCCTGGGCGGGGCCACAGACTGGGGCCTGGGAGTTACTAGAGGCTCCGCCCCCGCCACCCTGAGCTCTCGCCGCCCGGGTTTCACCCCGCTATGGTTGGGCTGCCTCTGCAGTGCGTGCTCTGGGGCTGCTTGCTGACTGCGGTGAGTAGCTTCTATCCCGACCCGACAACGGTTTGGGATTTAAGTGTGGGGAATGGGAAGGAAGAAGAAGCAAGTCTTCAGGGAAGAGAACTTTCTAGCTGATTTGGGAGAGTCCGAGGAAGAGGGGCAAGGTACCCCTGATCCTGGGTAAAAATGAGGTGAGCTGCCTCTCTTTTCTTCCAGAGGGTTGGGATTCCCGGAAGTCCACTTAGGAACCTAGGCGCTTAGGAAGGGCACTGCCAGCATAGCCGTGCCTGGGCTGTGTGCACGGTTTGGAGTTCAGGGAGCCTCCACCTTTACCTGATCAGAAGCCTGGGGTGTGGGACAGCCTCTGGGTTTGTCCACCAAGACTGGAAGTGGTTTCAAGAAGGCAGGAAAAGAGGATGGCCAAGGGAAGGGGCGGGTCTCGCCTGTTTCCTGTCCCTTTCCCCGTGCCTTTCCCATTGTGGACAGAGGCCAGCCTTTAGTGGTTATCATCTTCTTGCCAGCTTGGGCTGCTTTCTTCCAGGGCATCTAGTGGGAGCAAGAGATGTGTGCAGAGGCCCAGGTACTTTTTTGAGAAGGAATGGTAATTTTCACTAGGAGGAGTCCCCAAGGTTATGCCTCTGCCTGTTGAATTTTCAGATGACATAGGAGACCCGTGGGGAGATGACTAGTCCATGAGACCCAAGAAAGGGTTAGGAGGAATTTCTCCAGGCACCACAATGGCTGAGATCCAACCAAGCATATCTCCGGGATTTTCAGAAGCTCACACTTGACTCACTTTTGGCTTAAATGTATTTTTGTAGTTCCTCATTCTGGAGGCTCGGAATCCCCCAACTACTTGGCTTTCTCATCCCAGCCCCTCTGGTCTCCCCCTACTTTCAGGGACTGTAGAGTCTGGCAAGAGGCCTGGGCAGGAATGGCCCATGGTGTAGGAAGTCCCTAGCAAGGGAAGAGAGCAAGTGGAAAGAGAGTGAGTGGGAAGCACTTTGGTCCCAAGCTTTCATTTTCACTCTAGGCAATGAGCTTAGGGAGAGAGGCAGAAGAGTGCCTTGTGGGAGAAGGCGTGGTAAAACATGGTGTGGACTTCTTAAGCATAGAGTCTGCCCTCACATCCCTCAATTTGGGCTCCAGGTAGAGGATGGGCTGTGACAAGAGTAGCAGGTGCTATTTATTGAAGTCTTCTGTGCATTGCTCTGAGCAAAACACTGGATATATTTTCCGTCTGATTTCTCCCAGGTCCTTCATTGTACAGATGAGCAAACTGAGGCTCAGAATGGGGAATTGTCTTGCCCAAAGCCTCATAGCTACATAATGGTAGAACCTGATATGAACCTACATCTGCCTGATTCCTGAGTCTGCCTCTCACATAGTGAGAATCTCCAAGCCCTGGTTCCAAAATCTTTTCTGATAGAAAGACCAGAACTATGGGGAGTAGAAACTAGGGAATGACAAGCTGTCGGAGGAGGAGCTGTTAGAGGAGGAGCCATTTTCCCCTTGTGTTCAACGATAGTATCAAGGACTTCACTGCTCTGACAGGGTGATGGGAAGGTTCATGTTCATAGGGTGGTGCCTTGGGATGCTCTGTTGGGGACAGTAACCTTTTCTATTTCCTTCCCCATTTGGGGTAAGATTCATTTCATTAAGTAGTTTGCTCAGATACATAGGTCAACGAGAGCTACCAATTAGCTGGATTCCGGACAGCCAGCCAGGTAGCTGGGGCGCTGTGGTGTTGGGCATCCAAGGAGGTTCTCATCCGTGGATGATGGTTAAAGCTGTCATTTATGAGCACCTCCTATGGTCTAGACCCTGTGCCAGGCTATGCATATATATTCTTTCTCATCTTCACAATCCAACCTGCAGGGCAGGTGTTATTACTTCCATTTTAAAGATAAAGAAAGTGAGGTTAAGAGAAGCAAAATATCTAGTATGTATTACAAAGTCTGGAGTCCAAAGTTGTCTGATTCTCAAACCTGTGCTCTTTTCCCTGGCTGTTCCCAAAGTGTCTGATGATTTTAAGGAGAAATGGATGTAGAACTAAAATAAGATTGTATTAGATTCATTTAGAGCTTTACATTCTTTAAAAAAAAATCTGTCAGCTGGGGGAATGGCTCAAGTGGTAGAGAGCCTGCCTAGCAAGCATGAGATCCTGAGTTCAAGCCCCAGAATAAATAAATAAATAAATAAATAAATAAATAAATAAATAATCCTTGTCATTTTTTCCAGGAGGAGGTCTTTGGAGCTAGAACATAGTGATACCTCTCAAAGGCTTTCTAATCCTCTTTTGGTGGGGCTGGAGGTTGAACTCAGGGCTTCACACTTGCAAAGCAGGCACTCCATGGCTTGAGCCACGCCTCCAGTCCATTTTGCTCTGGTTATTTTGGAGATTGGGGTCTCTTGAGAACTGTTTGCCTGGGCTGGTCTTGAACCTCAATCTTCCCAATCTCAGCCTCCCCAGTAGTTAGGATTACAGGCATGAGCCACCAGCAACCTGGCTAATCCAATTTTTTAAACTAAAAACAAGAGCCTGCCTGAGGTGGAGGGCTTTCAGCAAGTGAAGCAACCAACTGAGATTTAATAACATTGTTTTGTTTCTGTTGAATTTATTTTAAGGGCTTCCTTTTGTTTATGGGAAGTGATACTGTGCTTGTCTCCCGTGGCAATGATAAAAGGTTTACATTTAAAAGAAATATATTTAAATTAGCAAGAAGCAATTAATAGCATGGGTGGTGTCCCATCATAGTGATGGCAAAACCAAGTTGATGGAAACAAGAGGGTATGTTGAGGTCTTCAGCTTCTGTCCCTGTGGACACTGAGCAAGTGATCCAGCCTCTGTGGTGTTCAGTGTTACCATCTGTGAAATGAAAGAGGTGGGTTTTATCCTTCCACCTTCATAATCTTTCTTTTTTTTTTTGGCAGTACTGGGGTTTGGAGTCAGGGCCTCATGCTTGTTAGGCAGGTGCTCTACCATTTGAGCCACTCCACCAGCCCTGTTTTATGTTGGGTTTTTTTTGAGGTAGGGTCTCAAGAAGTATTTGCCCAGGCTGACTTCAAACCTCCATCTTCCTGCCTTCCAAATAGCTAGGATTACAGGCGTGTTGCCTGGCTATAATCTTAGCTTCTTAAGAGGGAGGGCTGGGTGAACAGATGATATGGGGTTGGAAGGAGAAACCATTATGGGAGAGGAAGGAAGAGGTGCACAAGAATGGGAGGAGGAGTCCTTGAGCTAACTATGACCCCACCCAGGACTGGGGCCACTTGAAGCCAGACAAACTCAGAGCTTCACGGGATGACAGGCACACGCCTTCACACCCAGCTTTATTTTTGTGGAGATGGGGTCTCCCATGCCCAGGCTGACTTTGAACCCTGATCTCCCAATCTCAGCTTCCCAAGTAGTTACAATTACAGACTTGGGCGACCGCACCCTGCTCAGAATGATTCTTTGGGCACTTTCATAATCAAATCATTGGACAGTTTAGCCAAAACCAAACACACTCAGTTCTATGCAGCCTCCATTCTCTGCGTTTGAGATCCACATCAGTGGCAGCATTTGTCCTGTTTGACTTTCAGCCTTCCTGCCAAGGAAACGACAGCAGAGACTTCGAGATCCCTTCCAATTACTCAATTCTGTTTTTAGGTCCACGCAGAACCATCTACAGCATGCAGAGAAAATCAGTACCTAGTAAACAGTCAGTGCTGTGATTTGTGCCAGCCAGGTGAGATGCCAACTCTCTAGCCCCATGATGAGACCTCTCTTGGTTTGCAGGCAAATGCAAACCCCATGTATTAACTGGGAACTCAAGTATGAAATGACCCATTTCCCCTCTCTACCCTGCTGTCAGAATGTTCTGGGCCCCTTCTCTGCCAGGTAAACCTCTGCCTTCTCTCATCTGGGGTCCTATCTCTTCCATCTTCCCCACCAGACTATGAAGGGTTGGAGACATTCATCCTCGAGTCCCCTGCCCTCAAGCCCAGTTGGTCGTGTTGTGACAAGGATCTGATTCATTGAGTTGGCCAGAGCTGCCACATATCCTGATGTTTTCCAGGAAAGAAGATGGTGAATGACTGCACTGAGCACCCCAAGACACAATGTGTTCCTTGCAGAAAAGGCGAATTCTTGAACACCTGGAATAGAGAGACACGCTGTCACCAGCACAAATACTGCGATCCCAGTGCGTGGGCTGCTGGGGAAGAGACACTTGGGAGCTGGACTAATATTCGGGCTGATTATTCCTGATAGTGCAATCACTCTGATTTTAGTAGTCAGTATCTGTTCTGATTGGTTGCTTGGAGTCTGAGCTGAACTGCTTCCTCTTTTGTTGTCATTGTTTTGTTTATTTGGTACTGGGGATTAGACCCAGGGTCTCACACTTTCTAGGCAGAACTAGAACTATTTATTTCTTAAATAATTGATCATCTCTACTAGAAAGAGGCTCTAAGAAAAACAGAGCAGGCTATGTCAGAAGCAGGGCTCCCAGCCTCACCCATCTCTGCTCAGACCTAGGGCTCCGGGTCCTGATGGAGGGCACCTTAGAGACAGATACCACCTGCACCTGTGAGGAAGGCCAACACTGTACCAGCCATGCTTGTGAGAGCTGTGCCCTACACACCGAATGCAGTCCTGGCTCAGGAGTCAAGCAGATGGGTAAGTGGCCTGTCTGAGTCAGCTGTGGGAGCGGGAGACAGGAGACTGGCGAGGCTGGCAGTGGGCACTTAGCCCCAGAGACAGAGGGACTGGAGACTTTGGGATGGCAGTCTAGCTAAAGTGAGCAGGAAATGAGACCTTTTGCATTCTAGCTTAAGCCAAGGGTATGGGGTGGGAGGAGTCCCACTGGGCGGCAGCCCTCAGGGGCTGGAGCTCCAGGCAGAAAATCTTCCTGCCCTGCCTGTCCACTGGCTCCCTGGAGAGCTGGACACATGGTCCACTTGATGGTTAATGTGCCCTCCCACCCATTCCCAGCTACAGGGACTTCTGATACCATCTGTGAACCCTGCCCTGTCGGCTTCTTCTCCAATGTGTCATCTGCTTTTGAAAAGTGTCGCCCTTGGACGAGGTATAAAGACTTGCCCCTAAGGGTAGTCCTGCTTAATCTCTCTAGCCACCTGCCCTTCAGTCCCTGCTCACCCACAGCCACACAAACTCATGCACTTGTGAAAGTCTGCAGAGTGACCTCATGCCACTTTCCACACTGTCCTTGCCTGCTCTCTCTTAGCGGAGTAGACATTTTGAACTCCCAGTTTTCTTGACGTATCTTTTCTTTGGTAATCGTGCTGCCCCTGTGCTCCTCTTTCTCTTCCTCCCTGTTCCACCTCTTTCCTGCTCCTTCACTGGTTTTCTCAGGCTTCATTCTGGGCTGTCCTATCACTTTACCGTCCTCTGGGCCATCTCATCCACATCCATGGTCTCATCTCCTCAGCTGCTCTGAGCAGCAGTTCCTATATGCATCTGTCTCCTGCGTCCCAGACTGTCACGCTCAACTACTGAGTATTCACCTTTACGTGGTGACACCTCAAGCTCTGTGCATCCAGGACAGGCCCACCTGCCTGCTCCCCTTGCCTGATTGATGTGAAAGGCTTTGGCTCTGGACAGTCACGTCATGGACTTCCCTCCTTTACCTGCACCTCCAGTTCAGGCACCAGGTCCATCTGGCTTGAGTGCTCTGGGAATCTAGCCTTCTCACTATCTCCAGAATTGTCACTTTGGTTTGGGCCTCATCACTGGAGTCTGGTGAAGACTGCCTCATCACCCTCCTCCAAGGTGTCCCTTTTGGCTACTTCCCCATCCACTTACCACAGTGAACTTCACACTTCCTTTCAGGTCACCATTTAAAGGGCTTCATGACTCTCCTCTGCCTTCAGAAGGAAGCCTAGACTTCTTCGCATGGCCTTGGGTCTTCCTGTCTCATTTCCCAGTCTCTTCCCCTGCATCACACCGCCTCTCGCTACTGCTACTCAAAATCCCCCAGCACACTGTTCATTCTCTTTTGTCTCAAATTCTTCTGCCTGCAGCCACTGTCCCTGTGTGTTCTTCCAGAGATTCTACATGCAAACAAATGAGTAAATACACACTCCCACACCCATATTCTTTCTCCTTTTATTTTGTACACAATTACTTACCATATATACCATATATACTTTGTTTACTGTCTGCCTTTCCCCAGTGAATTGTAACTCCTTAAATGGAGAGAGACTGTAGCTTTTTTTTTTTTTTTTCCTATACTAGAGTTTGAACTCAGGGCCTCACACTTGCTAGGCAGGTGCTCTATCACCTGAACCACACCCCCGTTCCTTTTTTGCTTTATTTCTCAGATGGGGTCTTGCACAAAACTCTTGGACTGGCCTTGGACCACAATTCTTCTCCTTACACCTCCTGCATAGTTGGGATTATAAACATATGCCATCATGGCAGGCTTGTTCTTTCCTAACTTTTTTATTTTTTGCCTGTGCTAACCTCGAACTACAGTCCTCCTGTTTCAGCATTCTAAGTAGCTGAGATTACAGGTATGAGCCACTGTACCCTGCCTGAGATACAGCTTTTTTTTTTCTTCCACTGATCCTTTTTCTGTACCTGGAATAGTGCCTGCAGCATAGTATGTGCTTGATCAGTCTTTACTGGTGAGCATTGGCTGGTGGCTGGAGGTTCCCAGGCTGGAGTTGAATCTGTACATTGGCCTCCAATTTACCTGCAGCTCAGTTAGCCTGTGATCCTCATGCCTCCAAGCCTTGGTAACCTTATCTGGAAAATGGGAATGACCTTCCTTTCACAAGATGAAGACACATAAGGTGTTTTTGTAAACTCGTAAGCACTTTTCTCACATAAGGTTAAAGTACATGCCTTCTCTGAAGTTTCCTCCTACCTTCAGTGGTTTTCCCTTTGTCATGTCCTTCTCTGTCCACTCCTGCCACTCCCTCTGGGAGTACCTGGAACTAGGTCTCCCTCACTCCAGGTCAAGGCTCCTGGCTGGCTACTTTTCTGCAACTTCTCCTGCCCTGAGCTTGCCAGCTGGTGCTCTCGTTGGTTAGGTCATCTGGCTGGATGCTGACGGACTCGTCAGTTAAAACCTTCATGCCTAGTTGTCAGTCACCTGGTTTTTGTTCCTGCATGTCAGCCTCTTGACTCCCCTGTGTTCCACTTAGCTGAAGTGCACTGCTGCTCAAACTTTCACATCCTTCTGGGCCTGCTCAGATCTTTCTTCCTCAGAGAAGTTTTCTGAAGACTTAAACCACAGCTTCTCAGTTCGGGCCAATTTTGCTTCCTGTGAGACATTAGCAACGTCTGGACATTTTCTGTTGTCACAACTGGGAAGTGGGATACTGGCCAGTGATGCTGGTAAACATCCTACAATCCTCAGGAAAGCTCCCCTCCCCCCAAACACAGACTTGCCCACTGTGTTGAGGCTGAGAGTACACTGAACTCATCACCTCCCTGTTCCAGCCTTTGTGGATCTGAACAATGCCTATTTCACTTTAGCCTGTATCACAGGGCTTGGCACTCATTATCCACTCTCCTGTTTATTACTCTTTAAGATGTGCAATGACCTTTTCTCTGCGCTATGAGTTCCTGTCATACCCATAATAACCAACATAGGATGCTGCCTATAATGTGTGGTCAGTGAACTTGAACTTGCTGCTTGTTGACTGCCTCCCTCAGGTTGGAAATCTTGTGGTTGGAAGCCTTAATATTTCGTTTGTTTGTTTGTTTGTGTGAGTGCACGAGCATACACACACACACACACACACACACACACACACACATACCCATATGCACATGTGTCTTTGCACAGCTGTGAGGCCAAAGACCTGGTGGTACTTCAGGAAGGAACCAAGCTCACTGATGCTGTCTGTGGTAAGTCTGGGATAATGGGTCCGGCAACAGTCAAGGAAGGTAAAACTGTAGGGAGGGACTGAGGCACATAGAGACTCCAAGAGGGAAAGAGGAAGTGGAGATGAAGTGAGAGGAGGAGGCAGATTGGGGTGTGGTATTCCAGCTCTGCCATTTCTCTTGGGAGCCTGGCTAAATTGCTCCCCCTTTCTGAGATTCAATTTCTTCATCTGTAAAATGGAATGAGCACAGCATCTTCCATGGTGTAGGTGCCTGGCATGGGTTGTTTTTTTCTTTTGCAGTTTGGAAGCATTCATGATTGCTCTTCTGCCACCACATACTTTAGGTTCTAGTATGTTGTGACATTGTCTTCTGTTGGTCTCAGGTTTGATTTAAGAATGAGAAGGTTGGCTTGTAGCACAGATCACAAACTCAGATAGCTACAGGGACTAGGTGGGTCATTTAGTGAGTGAAAAAGATCAGGGGGAAGAAGAAAACATTCTCTTTGCTTTTTCTCAAGATTTATTTTCCTCTTGGCAGGGCTAGGACTAGAATGAGGTGACAGAGGAACTTGACTTCACATCATTTAAGGGAGTGCCATTAAAATGCAGTGACTAAGATAAACAACATTTTGATGCAATAGTAAAAAAATCAAAAGGAATGACAAAAATTGTGATGAACAAAATAGCAAACTTTTAAATAAAAACAGGATCTAACCTTGTATTGCATAACCTTGCCTTATTCACTTCACCCTACTCTTGGCCCTGGTTCCAATACAACCTTATTAAAAAAACAGGTGACCACCTGTGAGTTATTGTTTGTTCACTTGGTGCCTGCCAACTGACTTTCAAAATGTGGCATCAAAGTGATACTTATTTTGATTACTGAGTTCTCTGGTGTCCCCTTAAATTTTGTCTGAAAGCATTTGCCTCCTTTGTCTTGTGTTAGAGACCACTACCTCTTGGTCTTTCTTTCATTTGCTCCCTTAGAAGAGAGACATAGGTAGAAGAAATATTTTACTTCCCTCTAGTTACAAATGTAACTGCAGGCATAAGCAGAGCTGGACATCAGCACCAGCAGAGTAGGGAGTGCTGGGAAGCAGGCAAGCTGGCCGCCATTGTTCAGATCTAGCTGATGACTGCCAGTGGGGTTGCTGACTTATGGGAGCCAGTCTTCCCATCTGATAAGAGATTAGATGTCCAGATTTTTTTTTTTAATATAGAATCCCCAACTTAAAAATGTTGGCATTATCTCAAAGCACTAAAAAATGTGCTAGTCTTCCTAAAGACATCTGCCAGCCACACTTCCCCAAGGGCCACCCTCTTGAAACCCATGACATAGATGAGCTCAGACACTGGAGGATTTTAGAGTCTGCAAGGTACCACAGCTTTGGGCATTGGGGGTGGGAGCAACTGCAGGGCATGCTCACATCTTTTTTTTGTGTGTGGTACTGGGGCTTGAACTCAGGGCCTCATGCTTGCTAGGCAGGTGCTCTATGGCTTTGAGCCACCCTGCCAGCCCCTGCACATGTCTTGATTTCCCCAGGTTTCCAGACTCGGACGAGAGCCCTGGTGGTGATTCCCATCGTGACAGGGATCCTACTTGTCATCTTCTTGGTGTCTGTCTTTATCAGTGAGTCCCCAAGGGGGGAGAGGATGGGGAAGGGAGGGAGGAGGAGGTACTGCAGAACTGGCCACCTGATCCCGATCTGGCCTTCCCAATGCCCCCCATCCTTCTTTTTTTCTCTAGGAAAAGTGATCAAGAAGCCAAAAGATAAGGTATGTCACCCCTGGCGACCAAGACAAGAGTTTTGACAAGCTGGAAAGAAAGATTGGCTCATAGTTGCATAGAGGGCAGGAAAAATTAGTTCAGGGTCTGTCCCTGTGACCAGAGAGGGGACAGCAGAACTGACTACTGTCACCTCCATCCACCCCTGTATTCCAGCCTAGGCTCCTTCAGTTCACTCACCCCATTCCCCACAGAGCTGCACTTGGCACCACTGGCAAAGTCTTAACACTGGTTCTTCTTTATTTCCTCCCTGGCATTTGGAACCATGTAGCTGTGTCCAATGGGTGGAGGGAGGCCAGAGGGGCAGTGCCTTGATTCTGCTCATTCCCACTCTGGAAGCTTCTTGTCACCCTCATTGTGGCCAGGAGGGGGCAGGGGGCACCCAAGGAATCAGCACCGACCCACTGTTGCAGGAGAGGAAGGAATTTGGGGAGGGGGTCTACTTCTCAGGCTGCTCAGAGTCATAGCTGACCATGTTGCTGTGGTAACCTCACACCTTGGCTTTCCAGGTCCTCCATCCCGAGGCTGTACGGCAAGATCCTGTGGAGATGGAGGATATTCTTGGCCACAACCCTGCTGCTCCAGTGCAGGAGACCTTACATGGGTGCCAGCCCGTCACCCAGGAGGATGGCAAAGAGAGCCGAATTGCAGTGCAAGAGAGACAGTGAGGCCTTGCTTGGGACATGGCAGCATGGACACCTGGCTGGAGAGACTGAAGCTACTGCTGCAGTGGTGACAGCAGGAGGGTGAGGGACTGGAACTGATGGGGCCCAGCCCCCTAGGCCTGCACTGGTGAGGTTTGAGAGCACAGACACAGAGCTCAGTTCATCTTTGAGAACTTTCACACCTGTCCTGGAGCCATCCAATCTCCCCACCTGCTTTTAAAGATGAAGAAAGGACTTTGATGTGTGTGGGTGGGTGCACAGTAATGCTCACCAAACCGCCCAGCCCAACCTAGCAGTTGAATCCCAAAGACATATTACGGGATTTCCATATGTCCAGGACACCACTGTTTTTGGTGCCGAAGGCACTAACTGTATATCGTCAGGGGACTGGCCCAATAAAATTGTAATATATTTTTACTACAGGTCTCAAAAACACTGTCTAATGAAAAAAGAAGCAGGTTGTGGAGTGATGGCTATGAAGAGTTTTTAAAAGCACATACCCTAACAAAATGATATATACACTATAGTACACACATGCAGTGAACGATAGTGAGCTATGCATCGTGTGATGTAGGTGTAGATGGATATCTGTGGATAAATTTAATATATATTATATTTGTAGGGAAAAAGGGTTCTGGGAGGGTACACTGAAAACCCTGGGGTGGGAGAAAGTTGATTTTCCCATAGTACTTTATTTTTTCTCCAAAGGCGAGTGAATTCATATAATGCTTATGTAATTAAAAAAAGATCATCAAATGTAAAAAGAAAGCCTGGGTAGACATGCTGGGTGACATGAGCTGTTTAATTTTCTGTCAGGCTCCCAGAATTAGGGCATTTTCTGAGGATAAGAATGTCTTCAAGCTGCTGCCCTTCCAGGGCTGTTGCACATTTGGCATCAGGCTTGCACGGCATCCTCCCCCGACTTGTCTCATGTTCACAAAACAGCCTTCCTGGGTGGGCAGAGTCTGCATCCCTTCCTTTTTCACAGAGGTAGAAACAGAGTCCCAGAGAGGTGAAGGGACTTGCCTATGGCCACACAGCAGTGTGCAGTGATGCCATGCTGAGAGTCCCCCTATTCTTGGTTCTGGGCTTTTCCAAGACCTACCTGCTCCCTGGAATCTATGTCCCAGCAAGATCTTGGGACTCCTAATGCCTTTTGACCTCCCCACTGCTCTCTGAGCTGCTGCTTCTTGGTCAGATGGTGCCCCTTCCCCCCCAGCAGCATCTCAGGATAAAAATAGACCGTCCTGTTCTCTTTTCCTGCTGTGCCAACTGAGGGGGAGCCTCGTCAGGAGGAGCAGCAGATGGAGTGGGAGCAGAGGGGAGGGAAGGAAGGCTGGAGGACAAGGGGGAGAAGGAGGAGGAATGCAAAGTGCCCTACAAAGCCCTGGCAGCGGACTCAGCCTCAGACTCAGATGTGGGGTTAACCCGGGGCTCTTGTCCTTGCCCAGTGTGAGACGGCTTTGATTTCTCCCCGGGAGCCTGCTGGCTGGAGGGTGGGGGTGAAGAGGGCTTGTCCCAATAGAAGCTGTGAGGGCAGCTGGGAGTCAAGAGATGGACACCTGCTTGGCAGGCTTCCCAGAAGAGCTTCAAGAGCCATTTGGAGGCACCAGGTGGAGGCCCTCAGTTCAGGAAGTGGAGCAAAGTGGTGGAGGAGGAGGGGGAATGTTGGGACCTCATCCTCCCCTACCTACAGCCTAAATGCTAGTGGCGCTCACTCCAGTGTGCAGGGAAGACGAAAGCGATCCACGTCTGCCACCTGTCACCATGTGGTCTCAGATGAGTCACTGTTTCTTTATCTGGCAATGACAGCCACCCTTGCAGTAGACGCTGTTGGGTACTCTTGTGCTCTCTCCTAGGTCAGAGGTTCTTGAACTTCCTTTAGGACAGAGGAACAGTATCAGAACCATCTGTAAGGTCTGTTAAAGTGCCAGATTGCTGGGACCTGCCTCCAGTGTCTCTGGCTCAGCAAGTCTGGGACAGGGATGTGTGGTTCTAGCAAGTTCCCCAGATGGTTCTGATGCTGCTGTCCTTGGCGTTTGTATGACTGTATAAGTAGGTGGTTTCCTATTGCTGACCTTGGATGGCTGGTCTTGGGGCTTTCCTGGTCTTGAAGACATGCTTGGTGTGGATGCAAGCTTGTAGCCGGGAAGTCAAAGCTGCAGAGCATGTACTCCCAATGGCTTGGGTTCACAGGAAGATAAACACTCCTGCCTCCTTGTCCTCAGGAGGGATGAAGCTGAGGGACAAATCTCCCTGGGTTCCCTAGAGGAACGGCACCCCACATGCCCACAGTGAGCCCTCTGTGTTCCTGGTGCCACTTCCCGGGTTCAACTCCTCAGCACACTATCTCTGGTCCTTATCTCAGGTCTGCTTCTGTGAGAAGTTTCCCATGAGTCCCATGAGAGAGAAGGTGCAACTTTGTATCTGGTGGTGTTGCAACAGGTGGTAGAGGTGGGTGTTCTTGGTGACTCCAGCAAGTTCTGCTTCAACTCCAGCAAGTTCTGCTACAGGAAATTTCTGTAGCTGCAGAAAAGTTACTCTCTGGTTTGGACTTTGGTCCCAGATGTGTGATGAAGGGCTGCTGGGTTCTTGTGAATGCTAAGGGTCCTGCCTGGTCTGAAAATGCTTCCCTGTGATTAGGGTCCATCCTGCCTGGCCACTGATGAGGGGTGCCTGTGAGGCACACAGCAGCCAGGAGGTGGCGCTAAGGTAACATCCAAAGAGCCTGACTACCAGGACTTGACCTCCCTGAGTGAAGCTGGCTTTGCTGAGCTGATTCCCCACCGGCTGGTGCTCTAGCCGTGAAAGGCCTCTCTGCTCTCGGCTGGAGCCTCCCGCAGCCTGTTCTCTGCGGCCTCACCCATTCCCAGGTCTCATGCTCTCTGTGAGCGCCTTTCCTTAGCATTGACTATGTTTCTCTCGGTGTGTCTCATCCCGGGCTAGGGCTGTATACATGGTGACAGGACTTAAGAGCTCACGCTCACTGTATGCTAGGCACAGGGCCAAGAACTTTACACATGTTGGTTTACTACACATGACAACCAGCAGAAGGTGTGGTTTCTTATACCCATTTCACAGGCGAGGTTCAGAGGCCAAATGACTCACTGAGGTCTCACAAGTTAGAGCTAGGACTCGGCTCTAACCAGGTTCACTGAGAGAAGCCTGTGGTTTTAGGCACTCAGTGAGTTAGGGAACAGATCGCATGCTAATAGGCTATCTGGACAGAGTGGCTGGGTGGGCTTGGGATGGTGGTATGCACCTGTAATACCACAGCTCTTCAGAAGGTGGAGGCAGGAGGATCAAGAGATCAAGAGTCTGAGGTCAGGCAGTCAATCAATCAGACCCTATCTCAAAAACAAAAACAGAAAAGCTAGGAGTGTAGATCAAGTGGTAGAGCACTTGCTGAGAGAGGCCCTGAGTTCAAACCCTGGTACTGCAAACAAACAAACAAAAAAAGGCATGACTGCCCCGGGCTGGAGGAAGGTCCGAGCAGGGCAGCCAGCCTCTAGAGGAAGCAGGCGGGGACTGGAACCCACACTCACCCAGGAGCTGGAGAGGGAGGCCAGCTGGGCCAGGAGTCCAGGATAGCAAAGCCCACGGGAATCTTTAGGGGGCAGTGTCTATCAGTTCCTTTCATTGGCTGCCCGGAAGGAATCGGCGGGAACATTGCTGAGAATCGGGACTTTTAATCCAACATTTAATCTCCCAGCACTTAAATGTTACAGTTCCACACTTTAAAAACTTCCAGTGAGTGCCCGAGAGAACATGTTACAGAGGGTTGGGGGTGAACAACGGAATCGAATTGTGCCTAAGCCTTCTGTTTTATATATGAGGACATTGAGGCCCTGAGTGAGTCCAGAGCCAGGTCAGCAGTGTCCTAAGGCAGGTTTCTCCTTCCTCTGCAACCATCCCAGAGGCTGGAGAGAGCCCTGGATGCAGGCGGCACCCCCTACAGGGTGATGAGGCCCAGCACATTAAGCTTAGGACTGGGAGCTGGCCTCAGGAGGGGCCACACCTGGTGCAGCTGTGCTAATTGGATGGTGACCCATGAGGCTCCAGCCGGGAGTGCCCTGCAGCCTTCAGGCATCGCTGCAGTGGATTCCTTGGGCAGCAGAAGTTATTAAAGACGCTGCTCTGAGAAATTCTCTCCCCCAGAGTGATTCTGACATAGAAAATTACAGACCCACCTGCAGGAATGGCGAGATGCAGTCTTAATTTGGAGAGGGAGAGAGAGAGAATAGAAAGAAAACCTCATGTTGTGGTAGGGGGACTTGCTGACACTAGCAGCAAGGCTAAAGGGGTCCTGGAGGGGCCCAGCAAGACCAGGCAGCAGCTTCTCCCCACCCATGGGCAGGGGATGGGGCTGGCCTCCATTCCTATGCCCTGCCTCCCTGTCCCTGGGGCTCTCCTACCCTCCCTCTGCTGTGTTCTCTCACTCTGGCACATCCCGCTGGGCCTTGCTGCCCAGCTAGTTCCCAGTTTCCTCCTTGCCCCAGGACTCCCTCCCACCCTTGCAGAGTCTGCCTGGCCCTCCACTCACTCCCCCCACCCCTGATTCCTGCTTGCTCCTACCCACTTCTTTCCAGCTCCTCCACTTCACCCTTGTTCTCTTTCGAACAAGTGTTGTTGTTTTGACTAATTATAAAAGTCATACTCATACATCACACACACACACACACACACACACAGCATCTGGACAATAAACAGGGAGAGGAATGTAAGACCACCTGTAGGCCTCCCACTTCCTTGCCAATCACAAGGTATGGGTCCTTCCACACTTGCTGTCTGCCAAAAATATCTTTTAAACTTGGGATTATTATTGCATGTGCTGTTTGGTAAGCAGCCTTCTTTGCTTAGCAGCATACAGCAGACGTCTCCCCATGCCAGATTGGTAGTGTGTTTCTTAATGGTCGCACTGATTCCATTGTGCAGGATCTTCCAGGCAGTTTCTCTTTTTCCCTCCTGAGCCTCCTCTGGTGCCTTCGCCCTTCCCCTCTCCCCATCTTTCCTCTCCCATTTTCCATCTCCTCTCCATCTCTTTCACCCCTCTCTCCTCTCCTGCCTTCATCCCCAGCATCTCTGGTTTCTTCTCTCTCTCTCCCCACCCTTCTGGGAAGAAGGGATGTCGCTGGCCCTCCCCAGCCCTCCCAGCTCTCTGTGCCCTGCAGAGAGGTGGGGGTGGGGGGTTGGTGGTGTTTAACACCCGCTCCCCTGTGTCAGCCATGTGCCATCTCATTAGTGAGTCTGTCCCCCCCAAGTGAGGCAGGCAGGAGGCACAGTAGCAGCAAGAGGTCTAATTGAATGTAACTAATTATTCACTCCCTTAAATGGGCCTGGGAGGGACAGAATTACTCACTCTGAACTGGAGAGACCGGAACTGGCCGG